CTTTTTTTTTTTTTCCATGTTACTAAATACTACTGAAAAAATTAACAACGTGATAATTTGGCGCTAAAGTTACCTTGCCAAACGATTGAAAATGGTTTCACGAGTTTCGCTCGCCTTATATAATATATATATATAAATCATTGATAGTTTGGTTTCAGTTATTATCCTCTAGACATTTTTTTTCTCTCCAAATTTTCAAAATAATATGAATTATTTACCCAAAACAAGATTTCTGAAAATTTGGATTTCTCTGTGCCTGATGACTCGGTCATGTTTGACTGGATGTCTGTGATGTTCTGTACAAGACGATATCTTCCGATTACTTTCACTAGCACTACTACAGCCTGACCGCTCCGAGTAATTTTCTTTGTTGTTGTTTTTCAGGTTTACGTGTTGTTTGGTTGCCCTCTGGTCCATGAGGAGAAAAATCACTGTTTCAATAGATAACAAAAATAAATAAATAAATCGGTGATCTACCTTCTTAGGCAAACGTCTTGTCACAGCTGTGGTTCACTGTAATGCTCTAAAAGTTGCAGAAACACACCATTGCCTGAAATATTCAATATTCTTTAACTTAAATAACACAATATCGATTAAAATATACAGTGTAATTTAGTTAGCTAGTTTGTTTCTTTGTGTTGAATTTCGCGCAAAGCTACACGAGGGCTATCTGCGCTAGCCGTCCCTAATTTAGTAGTGAAAGACTAGAGGGAAGGCAGCTAGTCATCACCACCCACCGCCAACTCTTGGGCTACTCTTTTACCAACGAATAGTGGGATGGACCGTAACATTATAACGCCCCCATGGCTGAAAGGGCGAGCATATTTGGTGGAGCGGAGATTCGAACCCGCGTCTGGCAGATTACGAGTCGAGCGCCCTAACCACCTGGCTATGCCCGGCCGCGCTTCTTCGATAGCACACTCTTTAATTTCCGCATCAAGCTGATCCTAACATGCCATCAGTTCCCCTGTGGGTCAGCGGTAAATTTAAGGACTTACGTTGAGTTACTTTGTCACGTGCATGATTGTTTAAAACATTTTTCCACCCCAAAGATCCAATGCTTTCTTTAGTTATGGTTGTCCTATATTCTTGAAGCCTCTCATAATTGTTGAAAATCTTCCAAAATGTTCTCAGTTTCTGTACATTTGAGACACATTTTTGAAGAAATGAGTTGTTAAATTAATTATTTTGGAATTGGCTCACAGTTTGATTAAGAAATTAAGTATTCATGGTTTTATAGAAAAAAAATTGTTGTAAAGCACAAAGCTACACAATTTGGGCTATTTGTGCTCTGCCCATCACGGGTATCGAAATTCGAATTTGAGCTCTGAGCCATTGGGAAGGAGAACAGTAATAATAACTTTATTTTAACAACGTAATTATGTGAAGTTGCTTGAACCAAACAGTCCAATTCGCTGAAGACCCACTTCTTCCTGGTATTAAAACAATCCATGATTTCAGCTAATCCCATATCGTATACAGGCATACTACGTGTTTTATACCTTTTTACTTTAACACAGGACCTTTTCAAAACGTTTCATTTGTGCAGCTGTATATGCAGTTTCCACGTGACTTGTTGGTGAAGAAGATCTTTGAGTTGCTTTCGCTCTAGCTATCTATTTCTTTATGTCATTCATCTAAGATAAAACTCTATTGTTCTCCCGTGAGAAAAATAAGTGTAAAGTTATACATAGCATGTGAAGTTAGACAACTGTCTTTTTTACTATTAATCAAATGATGTTTTGAGGTTATGAAATCCCTTATTTTTGAATGGGAATGATTAATACGTAAGTAGCGCATATCGCTATGGGTCAGTTTGAAGTCAATGTGTTGCTTATTCAGTCCGATCCAAAATCTCAACTGAGGTAAGGCCGGGAAAAATCTAGAGAGCTCTCCACTAAACGTGACAAATAAGTACACATACACCGTTTTTGTGAACTTAAAAAAGTAATAAAATACAGAATTTCTTTGTGATAAAAGTCTTGACGAATCTCCTTGTATTTTGTGGACCTATCTTGGAAGAAATCAGTGTTATCTGAGAATACCACGCTGGCTAAGCCTAATCGGCAGCTATATCCGAGCTGAACTCTGGAACAGTAAATAATTAGCTAAAAAAAATAGAAGAATGAAATAGCCCCCCCCCCCCAGTGGCACAGCGGTATGTCTGCGGATTTACAACGCTAGGATCAGGGTTTCGATAACCGTGGTGGGCAGAGCACAGATAGCCCATTGTGTAGCTGTGTGCTTAATTACAAACAAACAAACCAGAATGAAATAAATAATTTCTCACTTTTTATATCTTAAAATATAAAATTGCTCCACAATTGAATAATGACTTCGATATAGTTATAAGATAGCATTTTGTATGTTCGCATAGTCCACGAGGCTTAGTATCATTTTAAAATCAAACACTAGATGAAACAATGAATTCTGTCGGCCCAACTTGTAAAATAATATCACAAAAACCGATTAAAATATTTATGTTATATCAACGCGACGTTATTCGATACCGAATGAAAATGTCACTTTAAAACATACAAGTTTGTTTGCTTGTTGGAAGCAAAAGCACAAAGTTACACAATGGTCTATCTGTGCTCTGTCCACCACTGGTATCGAAACCCAGTTTCTTTTCTAGCATTGTTAGTCCACAGACACACCGCTATGCCACTGGGGAGGGGGGGGGCTTAAAACATACAAAGCGAGATCCGAGTGGAAGTCGGATATAGCGAGGTATGTATGGATATCATCTATTAAAGGTGACAAAATTTAGAATCAATATTTAAAAAGCTTCCTTTATTCCACTGAATTTTTCGCCCTTAGTCCTGTGTCTCAGTAACTAGTTATCTGAAGAAGCCAAAAGAATATTTAGGAGAGGCGAATTCTCTTGTTTCTTCTGACATTGAAAGCACACTTAGATCGTTGGAACATGAATGAAGGGAAGAGTTGGTTGATTGTTTTAGAGCAAATCCACATTGAGTTATTTATTGAGTTTACCTGAACAAACTATTTTTTTATATACAGTCTTAATTGTACTATGGAGTAGGATCTATTAATTTTGTATAAATTAGTGCAAAATCGATATGCCTCATCCAAGTAATCAGAGGAGATTAATATTGATTACTGAATCCAGCTCCTCAAGATCGCTTTTATTTAGTTGTTTCTTCTTCTACTGCTGATGTTTTTCGGGTAGAAGTAGTAGCTCTAGTGTGTTTTCTAGTAGTGAGGATCTTGTATATATATATATATATAATTAGTAGCTCTAGTGTGTTTTCTAGTAGTGAGGATCTTATATATATGTATGTATAGGATTAGTAGCTCTAGTGTGTTTTCTAGTAGTGAGGATCTTATATATATGTATGTATAGGATTAGTAGCTCT